GGAGGGGAGGGGAGGGGAGGGAGGGAGGGAGGGAGAGTGAGAGCGAGCGAGCGAGAGCGAGAGCGAAACATTGTTCGATAGATGACGCACAGCTTGGCACCTGTCAAGTAGTCGCCAAACGCCTCGGAGTTGGCGGCGCTCACCGTGCCGGTAGCGACCTCTTGGAGCCAGTCTGGGATTCGGAGAAATGGTCTCTAACGAAGTATGAAGGTGTACACTCCGGTTCTGGAGGAGGTCTCATTGGGTTTTATGGGTTTTGAAGGCTCGGTGCGCTAGTTCTGCCCTACGGGTTGTTTTGGGGTGGTACTGTTGGCTCGACTGGTTTTTGGTGAGTTCGCCTGCCTCCAGCAAGACGGGTGCGCCGTTGATGACCGGGCCCTTGAAGAGCTGACCGGGGCTGATGAAACCTGGCAGGCAACACTACCGTGTCCTGTCTCCCTCCAAAAAAGACGACGTGGCCTCGGGGCGTCGAGAACGAGGCCCACTCCAGGCTAAGCGTGGCGTTGCCGGCCACCTCACGCACTTGACGATCAAACATGAGAGCTGCACGGCGCAGCTGTGGTCTCCGCGCGCCTCGCGGAACTCAAGGCGGATCGATGCCAGCTCCCCGGCCGTGAGGGCGATGTGGCCCCAGAACTCCTGACGAAGGGGGCCGAGTGGGGAGAGAGGAAGCAAAAGACAGAGAGAAGAAACCAGAAAGAAAAGAGAGCGAGAGAGAGAAAGCGAGATCGAGAGCGAGAGAGAGAGAGAGAGAGACGCACAATGCTGCATGGCAGCTGCGGGCAAAACGGCTCACGTGCACTCCTGGCCTGGCAGCACTCGTCCCATTTGTCGAAGAGGAGGACGCCGTTCACCCAGAGCCTGGCCAGCGGCCAACGGCAAAAGGAAGGGCCCAAAGGCAGTACGATTCCCACATTCCATCTCAGCGGGGCCGTGCTCGGGGAGCCTCGCGGAGTCGTCCGCGTTCACGTAGAAAGTGTACTCCTCGGAATGCTCCGGGAGCAGGAAGCCTCAGAGATCTCTGGCTCGGAGAAAGGCGGCGTCCGATCTCCGCGGGCCCGGCCGGTCCAGCGCACGGAGACGTAGTCCGAGGCGTACAGGGCCACGGCGCCGAGGCCCCAGTCGAAGCCTTAGATAAAAAGGAAAAGAACCCCCAGTTGATTGGGCCAAGGCCGAGGACCAGAGGAGAGTTTTCAGCAGTGTGCCTTTTTATCTCCGGGCTCTGTCGCGTCTCTCGTGCTCCGAATTCGCACGCGCCGGCCTGGGAGCCGTGTTCTAAGGAAGTCTCAATAGCCCAATGCTCCCCTCATTCAAGGCTTTGCTTCTTCGCAGCTTCTCTGGCTGGCGGTCGCATCACGTCTCCCAGAGGCTGAAATGTACAAAGCGTGTCTGCGTCTGCGCAGAGTCAGAGGGGTGAAGCCGGGGCGAAAGGAGTCGGTGCCCGGCGCTGGCGACTTCAGAGACTCGGCTCCAGTGCTTGGGACTGGGGCGGCCCATAAGCGGCCTAGACGCCTGCGCAGCAAGCGCATGAGTGCTCTCTTGTCCCTCGTCTCCCAGAAATCCCGCCCTTCCCTCGTAGAACCCCTCTCCCCATTCATCCCCTCTACCTCCCCCTCTCATCCCTCTAGAGCTCCGATAATCCCTTCTCCCTCTCCCTATCCATCCCATTATTCCGGGTCTCATCCCCTGCGCCGCCTACTCCCTTCTCCTTTCGGCTGCGCCTCGTGGGGTGCCGTGGACGTCGCCCCAACGCTCGAGCTCGGCCTGCCGCCGTGCCGGCACGCAGCTGTGGAGACGAGGGAAACTCCCAAAAAGGGAGGGGCCTCCTCCTTTTTCAAACCTCCTCCCCTTTTTTCGGATGTCCTAGATGAGCCTGTTTTTAGCGTCTTGTATACCCTCCCCCCAAGCTTCGAGCCTGCATCTTCTCGCAGCGCTCCAGCAGCCGCTCCTGCGGTCAGAGGCAAAAGGAGCGGTGGGAAAAGGAGGAGTTGGAAGTTCTATGCTTTTGCTTTCTGTCTCTCTGCTTTGCTAGGGGTATGAGGCATCGGCAGTCCCGATCTCCCACTCTCTCTTCTTCCCTAACCCTCTCTCTTCTTCCTTCAGGTTAAGGGAGCGTGCGAGCTCCCCGGCCCATTGGGCCCCCCACAGTCTTCCGGGGAAACGCTATACCCTTCTTCAACACAGCCAAAGGGCAGGCGCATAAGCCCCCAACCCCCGCGCACGAATGCGCCCTATACCCTTGCTTGCTTGCTTGCTTGCAAGGCGTTTGGAGGGTGTGGGGACCCTCTCTCTCTCTCTCTCTCTCTCTCTCTCTCTCTCTCGCTCTCTCTGTGTTTGCTTTGCTTTGCTTGGGGTATTCTCTCTGTCTTTTTCTTTCGCCAGGGCTATGGTGTAGGGAAAGATCCCCTATCTCTCTCTCTCTCTCTCTACCAGGTATGAGGGACGAGGTGGTCCTACCCCGCCCCCCGCACGCGAACGTGCTCCTGCGGTCCTTGGCAGGCTTGGTTCCCCCCGTGGATCTCTCTCTCGCTCTCTCATTTGCTTGGCTTTGGGGTAAAGACCCTATCTCTCTCTCTTCTTCCCCCGAGCATGGGGGGTTGGTCAGACACCCCGGCTAGTTGGCCCCCCCCCCATTGTTACGGGGTTTTCCAGAGGTGTGAGAAGTCCAGCAACGATCGAGGTACATCATCATAATTAACTGAACACAGAACCTATCTTTCTTTCTTTCTGTAGGGCGTAGGGGTCGGCGTCCCGACCCTCAGGCCTATTCCTTCCTTCAGGTAAAGGGAGCGTGCGAAGCTCCCCGGCCCATAGGGACCCCGTACCTCTTGTGTGGGGCTTTCGGGGAGACTACTGTACGTACCAGTTCAACTTCAGGGCGAGTGTCTGGTGAGTTTCCCCCGTCCCGGTGGCTTCCCCCGTAACGAAAAACAACGAGCAGGTAGGTCCAAGCCATGCAATAAAATCATCATCACACACTTTGGAGGATGCCACGGGTTTCGGCAGTGTTTAGTTCCAGACTCCCCCTGATCGATGTTTGTAACCACAGCAGGGTATTGTATACCTCAGGCCTATCTCTCTCTCTCTCTCTCTCTACGAGGTGGGAGTCCCAAGGCGGTCCAGCCCCGAGACTCGCGCGCGGACGCGCACCCGCTTGTCCAGGGGTGTCTGACGCATCTCCAAACGGATTTTCCATTTGGAGCTCAGCTCGACAGAAAGGAATCCCCCCCCCTGTATGGAGACGCCCTTGTGGAAACAACACGCTGCCAGCTGCCATAACATAGGTAACCATTCCCTCGGCATCCCATACAGGTGGACTGTGCTTGGGCTGCAGGGCACTTTCCCTTACAAAGTTTCGGCTTCCCCCGTAGCACAACAGTTCTCAACAGTGAACCAAGTAAACCGAAAACTGCACACACTCCGAACTGAGGGCCTGGCCGAAGAGACAGCGCTGGAGGTTCACCCCACTTCAAGACAGTTAACGACTTCTAAGTGCAAGTTCACAGCAAGAGAACTTCTCCCCTCCTCACTGGCTGTTCCGAAAAGGGTTGTCTGAGCTGCAAGTCCTCCCCCTCCCCACAGGTAGCGTGGCGAAGCAAGAGCTAGTTCACATTCGACTGTAAGACCCTCGGACACACATTATCGGAGCTGAAGGGAGGGGGCCTGCATCGAATCAGGTTGCACCGCGGTTCAGTGGCACCCCGCATGGGCTCTACGTCTACGGTGGCTCGCTTCACTAGAGGCCGGCTCACTCATCTCACTTTCCCCTCCTTCTCCATCGGGAAGCGTAGTATCGCCTCCCTCCGGAAACGGATAGGGTCCCCCCGGCAGCATCATGGTGTCGTCGTCGGCCAGGGTGGCTGTAGCAGGTAGTGGCGACTCCCCCACCATGCCGTCCAGTTCTCTCTCTCTCTCTCTCTCTCTTTCTTTCTGCAGGGCATAGGGGTCGGTCGGCCCGACCCTCAGGCCTTTGGCTCTCTCTCTCTCTCTCTCTCTCTCTCTCTCTCGCTCTCTGAAATCGATCTGAGGTGCGAAATCCAGGATCGGAGATGCATCGTCTTCCTGATCGATGAAGGTGCATCCAAGGCTGCCTCAAGGGTGTCAGCGTCACGAAGAAAAAGTTGTTGGAAGTGAGCCCCGGGCTCTTGAAGTCGATGGTCTGCGCAAAGGGAGATGCTGCCTGGTCGACCTCGGGGAGGACCGCGGCGCGCGATTTGCCAAACGGCCATGGGCTGAGGCTTTTGCAGGAACCTGTTTACCGTGGCTCTGCATCACGTCGACGATGCCCTCAAAAAGAGACGTCGAGAAGCAAGCAGCACAGCAACATCGCAGGGAGTGACTCCCGGTCCTGGTGCACCTGCTGTAGCCTCGCTTCGTTCTCCACCCTCATGGCCTCAAGGAAGCCAGCGCTTTCTTTGCCGAACCGTCGGCGCACAGAAAGGACCCTTCCGGCCTCGAAGCCGTCGCAGCTGAAGAACATCTGGGAGTCGGCTGTTTCCGACATCTCCCATCGCCTACTCCGTACATGAATCGCTTCCGCCCTGAATCGCCGTCTTAAGGAAGGAAGAGAGGCGCAACTCTCCCGGCCTTTCTGCCTTCTTCCTCTTGAGATCCGTCTCCCTGCCATGCTAGGGTACATCGGCTAGGAAACCATGCACTCCACACTGTGATGACTCGGCCTCCTGGCTTCGGCCTCCTCCTGGGCGACGAGGTCCATGTATTTCTGTGCCTCGGACAGCAGAGCCCCGAGCCGGCCCAAGCCGCCTTGACCCTCGTGGTCCCTCCGTTGTTCCGGCCCTTGGCCGGGCCTCCTCGCAGAACTCCTGCGCCTTTTGGAAGCTGCGGCGCATGGCCTCCTGCCAGCTGCCGCTGAGTGGGGGGAGGCCGGGAGGCCCTCGGAAGCTCTCTGTGCACACGCCTCCGTCTCCCGCTTGGGCGACGCGTCCTCGCCTTCCCGCGCCTGGCGCCCGGCCCGCGGAGGGGTATATTTGTTCTCTCTTCTTCATGTGGCTCCCCTCCCGCTTCTCTTTGGTACCTCCTTGCCAAGCAAGTCGTCGAGGAGCTGGGTGACGCCCAAGGAGAACTCCCTGAAAAATCGCAACAGCAAGGCCGCCAGCAAGCAGAACACAGAAGAAGCTCATGGTGTTGCTGACATGCTGCAACCAAGGAGCTCTTTCGACATCGTCACAGCCAAGCGGCTCTGCGCTAGACAGTGATTCTTAATAATGACAAGGGCATCTCATATCTATGACTTCAGAGCTTCATTGAAGCAGGAAGCGTTGTTGCGGCATGCATCGGACTGACATGCCAAAGACCTGATGCAGAAGCTTCAAGCCAGATCGATGGGGCGGCGAAGGGTTCAGAGCCATGCCACAGGGTCACCAGCAGAGCCTTCTCTGCTCTTTTCTGGGCTCTCGGCGAATCTCCGGATCCTCACAGCTTGCGAGGGGCATATGGAGCCTTCTTAGCACGGTGATGCACGGGTTGTGGATCCGGTCCTGGCGCGTGACCACCGGCATGCCGTAGAGCCACTGGTTGTCCCAATACCTTGCGAGTGTGCTGGAATGAGCTGACAGCTGCAGAGTGCTGGCTTTGCAAAGGGGTCCGGGCTGTCCCAGCAAGCCGCCCGGCTCGATGGCTTGCACCAGCAAGGAGTACTTCCCAGCCTCCACTGTACAGAAAGTTCAACGCAACCCCCCCCCCCCCCCCCC